ATATATAGAGGAGAGGTTTGATAAAAGACAGAACCTCTGGCTTTAAGTCCCGGTGCACAACTCCTTGGAGATGACAAAATGAAACCACGTTTAGAATTTGTACGACGATAGCCTTTGCGTCATCCTCTGGGTATTTGCCACCCCTGAGGACAAGAGAAAGCATAGATATGAATATATGATGTAGAGAAAATCAAAGAGAGCAATCAGATCACACATACCTTGCTAATATTCTGTCCAAGAGTTCTCCACCTTCACACAACCTGGTCAAGTAGAACCAAACATGGATGCTAAGTAATTTTCTACACATTTATATTCCAAGAAATGGCAATGTATCTGTGTGTAACATTAAATAATGTGATGATATGGGAAACAAGACATACTCCATGACAATGTATACGTTATTGGCGTCCTCACATGCATCATAATATCTGATCAGATGTTTGTGCCCAGATAATGATTTCAATAACTTCACCTCCCTCCGAACATCTTCAATTGCTATTGCTGTTGTCATCTGCCAACCAAAGAAAGATAAACCAGTCACACTCTCAGCTCACTTGTGCTTCTTTTTATCTATGAAAAGGATACGACAAGGTGAAAGTACAGGATCACAAGCATTCCAAAGTGAAACACATACTTCCACAGAATGTCTTAATCCAAACAAAATCTAGATCAATCAGCCAAACAAAAGCTACATGGAAGACCATAACATTCTTAAATCGTGACGACGAGCTTCGCTGCTACCATAAACAAACGCATGAAACATTGTAATATAAAAACTAGCACTTTAGATAATTTGATGGCCATCATGTCCTAATGCAGACAAAATCAACAAAAGTTCACATAACAGTCTTAGTCAAAACTCACTTCCAGACAAAACAAATCTTCATATATCCAAAGAGACAACACAACACTGTTGCTCTCAGAGAATCTACTGTAAGCACAAAAAAAAAGACAAATTACTGTCCCACATCCATTATCCAAAACACCAACAAATCTACACTACTTTCACAAAGCTGGATTACTACCTTAGCCTTGGAGATGATCTTGACCGCAACAGGATGATCTTTAATGTCACCCTTCTTCCCACGACCAGAACAAGTATGACCAAAATGCCCTCGCCCCACTTCTTTCCCCAATTCATATTTCGCCCCAAAGTTCTTCCCATACCCAAAGCTCTTATCAAGCAGCGACTGCTCACTTTCTCCTCCTCCTCCTCCCTCCTCAGGGATCGGACCTTCCTTAGGCTTCACTCCAAGCCTTTTGATCAGTGAAGCCTTAATGTGTTTAGCCGGAGAGGGCGGAGGAAAAGGACGACGGAAGAATCTCCTCGGAGTCGAAGTTCTCGCCGGAGAAGGAGAGACACCTGAAGGAAGAGGACTCGATGATCCTCCGTGAGGGAAAGGACTAGGCCATGGGCTCGGATTCGAAGACCTAGCTGGAGTAGTGTTCTTAGCTCTAAGAGGAGTAAGAGGCTGAATCTGGTTCCCGTCTCCGGAGACAACGTAAGTAGTTGTGTTAGCTTCGTCTCCGACGTTTTGCTTGCTCTGATTAACCTTCCCGTAACATTGCCCCATCGCTGCTACTCAGTAAAGAAAACAATCAAATCTGAGGCATTAGGGAGGGAGAGAGTGTACGGATCCGATCAGCAGGAAGAGAGATCTGAGGAAAACGATAAACAAAAGGAATGAGAGAAGAAGAAGAAGCAGAATAAGAAGAAAGACAAGACGACAAGGCAAGGCAAAGTGTTAAAAAGAGACAAAAGAGAAGAGGATACCAAAGTGACAGGTTAATCCGAAACGGAAACGGAACGGGAACGGTGGTGTTTTCTTTTTGTTTAGTCGTAACCGTTGGATTGAAATCTGAGATGTTTAAATTGACGGTGGAGATCTTCATTTGTTTACTATGTGAGAACCATTTAACTCGTTCCACCATTCAACAACAACCCTTCCGATATTGCTGTGTCTCAATTTTTTTAGTTTACCTATATATTTGATCAAGAAAAACTAAAATCTTTTTTTTTTTGGTGTGAGAAGTGAGAGGTTGGGAGATTATGGAAGAGATTTTACTCTCTCAACATATATAATTTGTTGTGTAATATGTTCGATAAAATTGCTTATCCATTTTTTTAGATGTACTCATTTTCGCTGGTTTAGTTTGGGTATATTTTATACATATTTTAATCCCCTTAATGTTATAAAGTAGGCAAAGTAATATAATTTAAGTTCATTTGCTTGATTTAATACATGAATTTATTATATTCAACTGGAATTTTCACAAAATTTTAAAGAATAATTAAAAATAATAATAGTCTGAACGAACCAGCTTGTTATACTAAAATATAATATCTAATATATTGTGGTATACTAATATTTTAGAGCATATATATACACTGGATTAGTTTTACCAAAAAAAAGACCAGATAATCTTGAATCAATATATATTTTGGTATTCTATATGTAAGATCTTTGGTTCTGGTTATTATCATCATTAGGCTCACTAATTTTGGCTAGTTTGGTAACATTTGGCTAAAACATTTTAAGATTTAAAATATCGTTTGTGAGAAATAAAATAATGTGTATTTGTCCTTATGTCTTTTCCCTTTTTAATTATATATACGGTAGTACAAGTTCTTTTACATTTTCCTTTATCCTTTAATTGTTTTGTCTTTTGTTTCTTTTAGTCCTTTAAAAATTGTTAAAGAGATTTTAACAATTTTTAATTAGTAAAACGGTTTTATAAAGAAGAATGTATTTGTTAATGACACGTAACTTAGCATTATCGGATGCAATTAAAACGGAGTTTCTATACGGACGATTCCTGATGGATTAAAGATGTGCTTACGACCTGGTCCGAAAGTTCGAAAAGAAAAAATACGGAGTACGTTATCTTACGTGGCAAGATCTAGGCCGTTCAGTCACGTTTACGCACCCTTTTAAATCAAATGTGATTGTTGAGAATTAAACACACATCGTGATTACAGCTTTTCCTGAATTTGGAAATAATCCCTTTTTGTACGTCCTTAAGTTATAAACTGGAGTAGTACTTTATTCAAATTAATTATCACTCTTTTTCAGGAAAATATATCTATTTTAGACAAAAACAAGTCATACTGGCAAAATTTAAATATTAGTGGTAATTAATTGGAAAAGCGACGTCTATGGGACTGAAGAGAGTTAACAGTTACAAACATTATTATCAAGTAGGTGAGAGGCAGATGATCTTTGAGCTAAGACCATTAAAAGTGCAGAAGTAAAACTAAAACAGTTTGTTTGTAAATCTAGAAATACTTTTTTTTTTTTTGAACTTTGGCTTTCATATTGATTAAGAAAAGAAATTAAAATGTTACAGGCCATTTTGCCTTAGTGTTTTTAAAACCCATTAGTAAAAAACTCATAAAGTAACTTCCTTAGGAGTAGCCCATATCTTTGTCCAGCGACCTCTTTTAGGCCCATTCTTTTTTTTCCTGTTACGGTCATGAGAAGAGAGAGCGACGAAGAATCCGATGGTGAAGTGGAGAGTTCGATCACGCATATTGGAGCCACGCTTGCATCATAGAGGAAGAGAGTTTTGAGTTGGAAAACCTGAAACTTTGAGTTGGAAAACCTGAAACTCTGAGTCCTATTTCTAATTTGGTGATCAATGATAGTGAAGAGAGAATCACTTGATCTGAAGGAGTTTTTGTGCAGTCTCGAGTTTCGCTCATTCCAGATCCAGTAGAGGTTGGATTGCCAAGCTAGGAGAGTGAGGAGGCGACGTGATCGCTGAGATTTCTGCATCGGAAGCCCTTGCATATGCAGTAAGATTTGAATCCAGTTCCTGATCGGCTGAATAGAGCATCTGGTAGCCGTTAATGTCCATAGATCGGAAGTGAAGGAGCAGTTGAAGAAGAGGTGATCTCGAGACTCCTGTTCAACGTTACAGAGGAGGCAAAGTGGAGACACCTGGATGCCCCAATTGAGAAGCATGTCCCTTGTTGGACACCTATTAAGCACAACAAGCCAAGTATGGAATTGCTGTCTCGGGATTCCATAGGAGAACCAGACCGCCTTGGTCCATGAGACTTCATCAATGTTCCCGCGCAAGTAAGTATACATCTGACCTGTGGAATAGTTCAAACTTACTTTACCCTCAATCTCCCATTCATAATAGTTAGGATTCATTGTAAAGTTGATGGTTGTTAGAAAAGCATGAAGTAGTAACTGAGGCTCTGATCTCGCAGGTGGAAGACGCCAAGCTCCTCGTTCGCAAAACATAGGTGAGTAAGCTTTATTTTCTCGCAGTTAGGATGATACTGAAGTCCTTGTTCTGTTGCGGCTCTTTTTAACATAAAGGAAAGGCAGTTCATAGCAATGACAAATAGGTATGGTGAAAGCGGGTCACCCTGCATTAAACCTCTTTTTCCTTTGAAATAGCCGTTTACAGTTCCATTGTAGCCTACCATAAAGCTTGTTGTACATATGCATGACCTTAGCAGAGATATGAAGTGGCGTGGAATCTGCATACTCTCCAAGCAAGAGAAAAGAAACTCCCAAGAAAGCGTGTCAAAGGCTTTAGCTATATCTACTTTAATGGTAGCTCTCTTATGTCCTTTGTTCTTATGATAACCATGCAAAAGCTCACTTGCTAACATTGTATTCTCCACCAACAAGCGATCTTTCACAAAAGCAGTTCGACAGGGCAGAATGACTTGCTGAAGAATTGGCTTGATCCTCGCCACTAGCAGCCTGGAGATTACTTTATAAACTGTATTCAAACAAGAGATAGGTCGGAAATCAGAGATCTTTGTAGCTCCTGGGAATTTGGGTACCAACGAGAGAATAGTTGAGTTTGTTGCAGTAGGCAGGAAAGCAGAGGTGAAATACTGAGTCACTGATAAAACCACTTCTTCTCTAAGTGATTCCCAAGATGCTTTGAAGAACCCAGAGGTTAGTCCGTAAGGCCCAGGTGCTTTATTTGGGTTTAATTTGAAGAAAATACGTTTTATTTCCTCAGCTGTCGGGATTGATAGCATTTCTTGTCGTTGTTGCATGTTACATTCAAAACCGACAGGCAGAGTAAACCAATAGCAGGAAGTGTACAGCGACGGAGGAGAGTAGTCCTGAGGACCAAGAATTGATCTGAAGTGACCCACTGCAAGCTCGCTCATATCCATAGGATCCGTGATCATTACATCTGAAGCGGACAAGAAGCATCTGATAGCAGTGTAAATCGCTCTGACCTGACACATTCGGTGAAAGAAAGCAGTGTTGAAATCCCCTTCACTGAGCCAGTTGATGCGTGATTTTTGTCTAAAGTAGCTTTCCTCTATGTGCCTCAGGAAGATCCATTTCTCATGAAGGTCTTTCTCCTCCTGAAAAGTTTGTGTTGATGGAGCATTTAAAGCTTGTACCTTCACAAGTTGTAGCAAACGGTAAGTATCACTCACTCTCTCTTGTATATTTGAAAAGTTCACTCTGTTTAATTATTTTAGTTCTCCCTTTATGAGTTTTAGTTTCCAACAGAGTTGAGAAAGTGTAAAACAAGTGCTTCCGGCCTGAACCCATGCGTTTTGAACAACCTCCAGAAAGTTAGGATGCTTGGTTAGGTAGTTTTGGAATTTATAAGGTTTGGTTCCAGCTATGGGAAGGGTGAAGGCTATGTCAATAAGACAAGGACAATGATCTGAGAAGAGGTTGGATAAAAAGAGGGTGTAGGTGTGAGGATAGGTAGAAATAGTTTTGTAGTTGATCAGGAGCCGGTCTAGCTTTTTTCCAATAGGTTCTGATGGTTGTTTGTTTGTCCAGGAGTGAGATGGGCCATTGTAACGCAAGTCAAACAACCCTGCTTGAAGTAAGCAGTCTTGGAACTGGTACATTTGATTATCTGGAACCACAACTGCAGAGGAGGAGTGCTCTGAAGGATACATTATCTGATTAAAATCACCTCCAATCATCCAATTCTTGCTATCCAGATCGAGTGTTCCATGGAGATGTAGCAGCTCGTTCCAAAGATCATTTCTTTCAGCACTGAGGTTGGATGCATAAACTGCAGTGTAGTAGATAGGATCTTGGGAGGGAAGAGAAAGAATGCAGGTCATCGACTGGCGAGACTGACTGATTACTTGCACATTCAGAGGATTTTTTCATATCAAGATAATACGGCCATCATTATCAGCAGCATGATTAGAGGTATAATTCCAGCTGTTACAAATTTTGGACATAAGGGAGGGCAAGCAAGTTTCTTTTATATGAGTTTCTAGTAATGCTCCAAAAAGAGGCTTATGGGTAAGAAGCCAAGAACTAAAAGGCCGATGTTTATCCGGGTCATTTAGGCCACAGACGTTCCAAAAAAAGAATTTTACACTCATTGAGATAAAAGAGGGACTCCACCAACAGAAGTGGATTCCTTAGAGAAGAAAGAAGTAATATTAAGCTGTTTGGTTGGGGGTGAATTTGGTTTTTGAGGGTCATTATCAGTGTCCAAAACAGAGAAGGGATTTACTGAAGTGAAAGGCTTTTTTGTGGAGGAATTAGGGGTTGAAAAATGGGAGGAGGGAGGAAGCATAAGAGCTAAGGTTGAGGAAGGTTGAGAAGGG